AAGGGGTTAAATGCACATTGTTTTCTCACTCTGAGAAAATAAAGTTACCAGAAAATGTCAGCTTCATGTGGCATGCCTACCTGGGTTGAGTTCCTGAGGCTTTTTGTTTCCATTTATCTCCCTCCATAGTTAATCCAGCTGTAAGGTTTGATAAATGCTTTGTACTTTGTTTTGGAGCTGTGTTTGGAATGCCCTGCTGAAAAGGTTCTCTCTGAAGCAGGGAAAGCTGGATTTGCTGTTTGCTGCCTTCCGATCCCCTAACGTGGTCAGCGTGTTCTTTAAATTCCTGCTGGAATTCAAAAGTTCAGATGAAGATTATCCAGTTTCTTCAATTTCTTCACCTTGACTGTGCTGAACTCCAAAGACTTCTGCCTTTCCCTTATGGAATATTAAAAATAGTTTTCCATCTCTGAGCATGCCCAGTCTCCCCATTGAGCTCCAGCGTTCAGGAGCATCATTTCTCTCCATGTCCTCCTTTGCTGTAGGATTTGAACACCCGGGGAAGCTCTAGCTCAGCTTGACTCCTGGCAGCCATTGATGTGTGGAGCACTCGCCCTCCTTGGGATGTAGCTCTCCTTGAGGTTGAGTTTTTGTTACTGTTTCCCTGCTCATGTCCTGTGCGGAGCTATTGCTGCAATTCCTTCTCCTTTGCTGGCACCCGGATGTTTTCTTTCGGACTCAGCCCAGGAAGAGTGGGAACTGTAAAGGTGAAAGAAATTTCTGAGTTACCAGGCATTTATCAAAGACTCTGCTGCTTCATCCCTCAGATTTCCCTGAACTCTGTGGTTAAGCAGCATTTGGAATTAATGGATGATCAATGGGCAGTGGTGCCCTCCAAACTGTTGTTAAGGCAGTGCTCTGTTTGGTGAAATGTATGTACCCTCTCTTGCCAACAGCAGTAGCATTTGATGAATACAAGTGTTTAAAATGTAACCTTGTTTTCCTTACTGCTTCATTTTAGCTTAGTTTTTGCTGCATACATTGTGCTCCTTGAGGGGAAAAAGCTGAAAGTTTCTCTGTGCCCAGGAGCCCATCCCTTCCTCTCACTGCTTCCCCTGCCCTTTAGGGTGGTCTTTTCTTTGAGGAGGTTCCTGCTGTGCCAGAGGTCCTGTGCTCCCAATTTGTGGAAGGGTGCAGTATAGTCAGCCCCCATGTCCTGCACATGAGGAATCTATTGGATCTATAGCAAGGAGTAAGATAAACAGCCAAGATTCCCCTTCTCTGCTAGAACAGAATTGTCGTGGGTGTAAAGCCAATTTTTCCTGTCAGCTCTGCCCGTAAATCTCTGCTGTGCGAGAGCATGAGGGAATGATTTGGCATGAGCACAAAAACATTGGACATATTGTCCAATTGTTTTTATACTTACCCAAGCTTGAATTCCCCAAATTACTGTTTGTAGTTCTCATCTCTTTTTTTATCAGTTTATTATGTCATGCTTGAGCTTACTTCAGCTTGCAGTGTTTATGTACATTTACTCTGTGCATTTCAGTCAGGTTGTTAAAATTAAAATCCTTGGGCTGGGAGGAGATTGGAAGATTATCTTACCTATTCCAAGGAATAACCTTTTCTTTTGTTTTTGGTTTTTAAATTATTTTTCTGTTTGTTTCACAGTATAAATCTGAGCATGTTTTAGTAGGCCTAAAGTTACCTTTGTGTTTAAAAAATACTTTTTTTTCATCGGGGTTTAAATTAATCTTGGGAATTAAATATCTTTAGGTTTTATTTCTATAGGTTCTCAATGATTTGTCTTTTAATCATGAAATTCTATTTATATTTAATGTCTATTTTAGGATCATCATGACTCAAATATCCTCCCACGTTTGGTTTACTCAATAGAGAATTTCTAGATGGCAATGTATTTTTTAATTTCTATTATTACATGCTTTTCTTCCTCTTTTATTTAAAACTGTCACTTGCATGTAGGTTGTTATAATTGCACACCAGAGAACTTAAAGAAAAATTAATATGTAAACATTGTTCTTTCTTTTACAGACCCTGAACCCTAAATGGAATGAAGAGTTTTACTTCAGAGTAAGTTTCTCTTTATTTGTGGTCATTATTAGAACCTGCACAGCTGATCTTGTTTTCTGACTGTTGTTTATATGTTTACTCCAAAGCCCTGCTTTCCCCATGCACTTGCTGTTGTTTCTGTGGGGATGGAATGCCCAGCAGGAATTGGCTAGGGGTTACTTGGAAACTGTTTCCCAACCTGCCATTCCATAAATGTGAAGGGCAGTGACTTTGCTACTCAGTTGCAGACAATATTTTTCCAAAGAACTGCTATTGACCTGTAGTGTGGCTGTGGCTTTCACAAAAGCAGGTGAGGTTCAGAACTTCAGGGGGTTCAAACACCAGTGCCCAAGGGCAGATGTGACAGGTTGTTGGAGCTGTGCTGGATGAAGAGCTCTGGGACAGCAGTGCCACCACTGCAATGTTGAATGTGCAGGCCTCAGCATGGGAATGCATGTTGGGAGACATGCACCAAACATGGGCTAATACACATCTAAAATCTCAGGAAAAGGGAATGCACAACACTGCTGCAAAACCTCTGCTGTAGTTCACACTGCTGTTAAAACATCTTGAACGTCCTCAGCAATAACGGGATCTATAAAGTAATTTAGACCCTATTTTGTGTGTCACAGTTCTCTGATTTTCTCAAAACTGGGATGTCCATCTCCAGATGTTCCACAGAATTATTAGTGCATTGTGGTATATTACTTCTCAATTTTCTTAATTAGAAATTAATTCTTAATTGGTCATAGTAACCTGGCTTGCAAAGCTTTTCTGAAAAAATGTATCAACTGGATCAAACACTGTAGAGCTTGTTGTTCTGTAATAGCAGCTGTTTTGTCTTTCTGACAGAGTTCTTCTTATGTTTTTGTCCTTTTAAATGCTTTAATTTAAGTAAATAATTTCCTGGAGGTATATTTGCTGTTTGCAGGTGTTGGGGAGACTTCTGCTGGGTGTTCCAAGGGTGTGTGTGCTAAATGGGCTAGAGTTGCTGAGCCGTGGAGAGTCAGAAATATACCTGAGAATGGGAAATTCTGAAGGAAATGCAGCAAAACTCTTGCTCCTCATAAATCAATCACAGTCAGGGAGCCCTGGCAGTCTGTCCAGGGGTCCTCTGCCAGGGAAATGCAGTAACTGAGCACAGCAAATAAAAGCTCTCCTGTCACCTGCTAGGCTCTTGCCAGTTGCAGTAAGGTTCTGGTGCTCCAGTTTGAGTAAAGATTGACATCAGACCTGTTAGTCCTGTCCTCTTTACCTTGGTTTGATTGCTGCCTGAGCCAGTACCCAGATATTGTTATTGTCCAGCTGCTGAACTTGCAGTGACATTTGCATTTTCTCACAGGTAAACCCAACCAACCATCGGCTCCTGTTTGAGGTGTTTGATGAGAACAGACTGGTGAGTGCTTGTCTTGGTTGTGTTACACTGATCTCAAGGCTCTGTGTGCCACGGCTGATAGAAATACAACACAACTTAAAGGTGTCTTGAGTCTGTTATTTCAGTGAGCGTGCCAAGAAACACAGATGCATAAAAACCATTTGAGTTTGGGGCTAAAAGGGCACTAAAGCAATGCCCTTCTGGGTCAGACCAAAACAGTCCTCCTCACCCAGTCCTCTGACAGGGAAACCCTCACTCTGTCCTTCTGTAGGCCTCTCCACTTCAAACCAATAAAGTCCTGACCTTTTTAGTTGCTGATAAAGCAGCTGCTTCAGTCCCTGATGATTTTAGTGTCCCTTTCCAGTCCTTCAGTGCTTCTGTGTCGTGTTTTGGAGGTGGTTACCAGAGCTGCCCCTTGTGCACACGGTGTGTGTGTGAAGGTTTGAGCTCGTGGCAGAACGATGCTCCGTTGGGTTTCAGTTCTCTGCCTCACAATGCTCACGTGTTGTTAGTGGGTTTGGTCTTTGCCTGCGTTTGGCTGATGCAGTAGCTCTTCTGGAGGAGGCTTTCAACACCTGATTGCTGCTAGCTCCTGCTGTAGTTCCATGGGTGAGAAAAGTGACAGTGTCCCTCTGTACATCCGGGGTTAAACACACCAGTGCAGTGGCACACTGGTGGATGGCTCTTGGGGGGGTTGCTTTTTGAATATTGTAACACCATCTCTCCATTTGTGAGATCAGGAATTAACTTTTTCTGGGCTGGGGGCGGTACAGTCTTTACTAACCTTGTTTCCTTTCTGAGAATTAGGATCAGAGTTGCGAAGATACTTTTAGTAAAAAAAGACAGTGTAGAAGCATCTGTCTTCAACAAACATGTTCTTTCCTTCTTTCTTGCCAATAAACAAAGAGCAAAGGAAACCACACAAGCTGTAATCTGGGGAGAAAGAGGACTTGGCAGCTGAATGGCTGAATTCCTCAGGGGGAAGTGAATTGGTGAACCAGTGGCACTGTGCCTCTACACTGGGCTGACCAGGAGCGTATTTATTTGTTTATAATTATCATAATGACCACTTGCACCATTCAAACTGCCACATGCCATTGGAATGCAAAGGTGCCACAGGAGCAGGGAGGTGGGTTGGAGAAAAAACTCACATGCAGTGACAGCTGGGAAATGACAGACTGGGGATACTCATTTCAGACATACTGCTTTGGATTTTCGAGTTTGGGTGGGCAGTTTCAGCACTTTTGTTTGTTGAACTGATTTGTGTGTGTTCTGCTCCTGCCTCAAAAGTCAGTCTGTCCTTGGGCTTGGAACCTCCTGGCCAAGGCAACACCTGGGATTAGGAGCCATGGCTTTCCTTGCAGGAGGTCTGTGGCAAGGTGACTGCTTTGGGGGGTTTGGAGTAGCAGGTTTCCATCAGGTTCTGTTTCTAGAATGAGGAGACACTGAACTGATTACTTTGGCTGTACTCTCACATACTTATTGTCAAGACTTAAATGGCTTTCCTTGGAAGGACTTTGTTCCTTCTTCTTGTTCCCAAATTATCAAAGTGCACCCTGTCTCTGCAGGTGTCCTTGCCTTTCTATTCCCCAAGCTCAACAGAGTGAGTGTGATGGATGCAGCTTCATTTTGGGTGCAGAGACCGTGTTCTTGGGAAATATGTTTTAGCTGAAAAAGAAGATAAAATAATAACAACACCGGTGCTTCTACAAGGCGATCTCCAGAACCGTTTTTGGCTATTCACATTTTTGTTGTGTCTCATAATCCACATAAAACAATGTGGAATTGGCTGCTGGCAGTTTGATCAGTTTGAGCTGCCGTTACTCTTGGGATTGGCAATTTTCTGGCTTTTGAAAGCAAACTGCTTGCAAGCAGAGTTCAGATGTCTAGGCAGAGGACTGACCCGCCGCATCCAGGTTTTCAGAGCTGTTGACAAGACTGAGGCTTTCCAGTTCCTCCAGGGAACAGCTGCCCAGGCCCTGAGATTGAGCTGCACTTCTGGTTACCCAGAGAACCTTTTCTGCTACGTGCTGAGAAGTGTGCGCACCCTTCACGTGTGAGTGCCCTCAGGGCTGTAGCAGAGCTCTGATCTAGGGTGGTTGTTCACATTCTGGTGTATCCTGTCTGCCTGTCCTTCTCCTGAGCTCCTCTGGCTGTCAGAGGGTGTAACTGTACTCCGTGCTGGCAGAACCACGCCTGGTGGCGTTGCCCAGTCCCTTGCTGGAGGCCAGCCAGGAGCAGGCAGTTCTGTGCAGGACAAATCGGTACAAACGCACATGCGACACCCAGCTCTGCTTTTCCCTCACCTGTGCTGCCTGGTAAATCTGGAAAAGGAGCTTTGTGTCTTGCTGTCCTGCACGGTTCTGCTGCTTTTACTGTGTGAGAGATCTTTGCCACGTGTACGATCGCTTTGTTTGTAATTTGTAGTTACTCAAAGGGTTGTGCAGGTTACATTGCTGTTGGGGCTTTTTAAAGGGAAGAGTTTGTTGCTTAATTGTGTTTTGAGCACGGTTAAAATGGAAAGCATAACCATGTTGTATTTATTACTGTTCTGCCATAACAGCCCAGAGCTGTAACACACCAAAATGTTACGCTTGAAAGAATTTTCCTCATTTGCATGTGGTGTTGACTTAAACTTTTAACACAAAATGGAAGCGGTTGTGTTGTAGTTAGATTTTTCTGCAAGTGCTTTCTCGGAGTGTGCCCTGTGAATCTGATGTGGTTGAGATTTATAGCAGTGCTGAGTGTATTCGCTGCCTCGGTCAGCTGCGAAAGCTCTCCCGCTGGGGCCGCTCCTCCCTGATGGAAAAGGAGCAGCTGGGAAGGTGCTGTTTCAGGCTCTTGCTGGCATTATAAAAAAAAAAAGAAAAGGAAAAAACAAACTCCGCACACACTTATATTGGAGAGGGGGAACCAGGCCACGTGACTCCCACCATCCTACCCTATGTCACCATGTGTGTAGGAGCGCTGACTGCTCCTGCCCAATCATGCCTGGAATGCTGCTTGCCACTTGGGCTATTTCTGCTATCTGTCGCTCCCAGGGCTGCAGTGCTAACCGTTTGGCAGATGGGACACTTTTTCTAGGAGTTTATGTCTTTGGTTTTTAACTTCTGGCAGTGCCTGAATTGTTGCTGTTCTCCCTCTCCTTTTCTTCTCTCTGTAAAACCATGGCCCATCGGCTGCGGTTTCATTTCGGCTCTGGGAGAAGCAACACAGCCCCCGAATCGGAGATCCTTGCCCGGGAGAGAGAAGATGACTTTTTCATGGCGTTCCACACCTTGCCGAGAAGAAGCAGCCCTCACGCGTTCTCGCGGCACGGAGCGGATTACGGCGGCGATGGAGATCTGCACGAAGCGGGCTCCTTGAAAAGGAGCACATCCATGTTCATCCCGCAGCTGCTGAACGGCCTCGACACGCGCCCCACCAGGAGCTCATCCATGCAGATCTCGCTGCAGCGCAAAGGCGCCGACGGCTGCGCCGACGAGTGCGCGGCCCTGGAGTCTCCGGAGGAGACGCCTCTCTGTAAATTCGCAGACTTGAGGGAGCGTTACGCATCCTCTGCTGAAAACTGCTCTTCTCCGAGCACTCCACAGGTGACTCCTGAAAGTTCTTCACCCGGGCTGCCGGAAGAGTTAGGGCAGCAGACGGATGGAACTGTCTGCTGTAACCGTAGAATATTTTGTAGCGTTCCAACTAATAACCAGAGCGAGGAGGCTCTGCTGCCTGCCCAGCGAGAAGAAGCAAGTGAAGCAGCTTCAGCTTTGAACATAAGCGGTGTGAGGATTCAGCATCGGGCCTCAAGCGCAGACGTGCCTCAAGTTACTCTTCTTCCCTTTGGTCCTGAGGCTCCAAATAATGCTCCCACCCCTGAACCCCGACGCTGGTCCTTGCAGCATGTGCCAGATCTGTCAGCAAATTCAGGGAAAAAGTTCTTTGTTCTCCAGTTACAGCAGCCACAGACGAGCGGTGCAGGCGTGGGAGGTGGAGGTAACTTCGGCTTTACTGGAACAAAAGGGGACAGGTTGGTCAGGTACCCTCGGATCCGGCTGGAAAGGAGTACTTCCTACCCTGTCCAGCCACCAGCAGAGGGAATTAGCCCCGCAGGTGAAGGGCTGAATTCGGAACTGCCTGGAAACAGCAGGAACAGGGCAGAAATACCTAGAAGCAATTCGGTAGAGCGGATGCCTCAAGGGCAGGGATGCTTGTTTAAAATCAGACCGGATCAAAACATGAGGCAGCAGCACTTCAGGATTCTTGTCACACGTGGGCCTGAAGAACAAAGTCAGGCCGTTGGTAAGGAGGCCAGCGGCACCCCCGGTCCCACGGCAGCCGGCCCCGCAGTAAGTATGATGCTGCTAAAGTACGTGCGCTGGCAAAACACGGATTGCCTTACAGAGGCTGCCAGACTGGAGCCAACTGCAGCACTTGCATTGTTAGTGCTGGAATGTTCTGCCTTTCTGTGGAGCAAGCTACCGATCGCCTCCATTTCTAATCTCGTGTAACTTTGCCCTCGGTCATGATTACATCCAGGGTAATATTTTCAGATCTTACTGTCACATGTTTCTTAATTCACTGTTACGTCAGCTGGAAAGATTTTTTTAAAATCACAGCATTTAAATAGCAAATTTTATGTTCCTGTTAGTTTAGTTGGCTGAGATCTTGCTGCATGAAGAACTCTTTGTGCACTCTGGTTTTAAAAACAAATACTTTGTCACTAAGTGTAGTGGGCACAAGTGTCCCTCTACACACTTTAAAAATGTGTATTGTAATGAAGTAGTTGTTAAGGCTGTGGGAATCTTAGGGTAATTTCAATCAGGAGATTTTCAAATACTGACTTAGTTAAGGTACCAAGAAGTCTGGGGAAAAAATAACCTTTGTTACGGTAATTTCTCTTTCCTCCTTCTGGAAGTGAAAAACACGTCATGCTTTTTGTATGCTGCAAGTCCTGATCCAAGTGCAAGTGGCTCGGCACAGCGCAGTAAACACTCTCGTTGTTTGGATTTGCCTTGATTTGGCGTTAGGATGGCAAAATTTATCTTCTGGGTTTGCTTTGTTACAGCAGGTGAGGATTGATGTTTTTCAGCTACTTTTTCGAAGCCCAAAGTAGGAACAGAACCGAAGGGTTTAGATTAGTCATTTGCTTAAATTGCTTTGCTGTGCAATCCAACACGGCCCACTCGAGTTCCCAGCTCAGGGCTGCTGTATTTAGCATAGCGAGCTCTGGCTCCAGCTGTGGCATGGTCACTGAGGAGATTTCAGGCTCCATGGCTCCTGTGCTCTCAGGCACTGAAATGCTGCACAGGGACAGCTGCTCCCTGCAGCAAGGCCAGGGGTGACTCTGCAGCTTTCCTGTAGAAAGGCTTGTGAGCTCCCTGTGTTTCCAACCTTCTTCAAAGAGTAAAATAAAAAGAAATCCCTTGCTGGTATAGGTTTGGTTCTAGGACTCATAAGGGAGCAGAAAAAAGTCTGTCTGTTTTTCCCTTTCCCTTTATTCTCCTTTCCAAGATGAGCTGTTCCTGTTGGCCCACCATAGCCAGTTCTTCAGGTTGCTGTGGGATGTCAGACCTAGCACAGAGGCAGCAGAGGATTGCAGAGATGTGCCCTGGGGTCTGTGCAGCAGTTCTCATTTTCCTAAAGGATCTCTCCCTCCAAGTCCCTCCTTTCATCTCCCCCTGTGGTAACAATTCCCCTCCCAAAGACATGCAGCAGTGTTCCCAGAGGAGGAGAATGAGGAAATTGTTTCCTCTGTGCTCTCGGTTTGAGTGACCGTGAGGAATGGATCGAGGCAGGCTCAGAGGCGCTCAGCCCACATGGTGCTGCATCCTGCAGGGCAGAAACTCTCAAAGGAAAAGAACTGATTGAAACTTAACCCTTTTTTGGTGTTTCTCAACTTTGTAGTAAATCCGGAAATACTGTGGGTAGAGGTGATGGACTGGGCAGGATGCCGTGGGAAGTGTGGGGAATGGAAGCGTTTTGGTGCAGGTTTTGTTGCATTTTTTAACCACAGAACATTCCTTGTTAAGGTGCCATTTTTAATGTGTCCCACAGAAGTTCGTTTGAAAGATCTGTGATGTGAATAAGGGAGTGCCTGAAATATCTGATCTCTTAAGCTGAAGGGAGAGGTTGCCATGGTTTATATAGTTGATAGTGTGAAAAAAAAAGTAATTGTGGTGTGTCCCAGTGCAAGAAGTTTATGTGTATGTGATTGATATAGGGCCTGGGCTGGGGCTGGGAGCAGCAGCTGCTGCAGCCTGATTTATCTCAGAGCAAACATCCGAGCGGGCGTCTGCAGTCCTGCTGCTCCGAGTGGTTGTGACCTTTCAAATATCTGCTCTTTTAGACAAGTGCTTTGGGGCAGGCAGGATGTCTTCCATTACCAGACAGAGTAAAATATTAAGTAGAGGCTGAGCTCATGTCAAACTGTGAAAAATTTTATTTGGAAGCCTTGTTGCAAATTCTTTTGCCTGCTCTGATATTATATGCCGTGCAATAGAATGTCTGTGCACATTCTGCTGTTGTTTATCACTGGGGGCTGTGAGTGCAGAGCTGGATTTGTGGGAAACACTTCAAAAATGTACTGGACAGCTGTTGGAGAGAGCTGACAAAGGCATCTTTGTGAGCAAAATACAGCGTGCCCTAGGAAAGTGTTGCAGGAGTAGGACTGAAATATATTTAGTAAACAAACAGAAGTGGCACCTCTGGGTTCTGCAAGCCTGCATTTCTCACATCTCCGCTCTTCCTCTCTCAGAAATCATTTTAGAATAAATATTGTTACGAAAGTACAGAGAATCTATTTGTGCTCCAAAGATGCCAGCTGGGATTGAGATGCATAAACCAAAAAGAGCGAGCTCAGATAAGGGGAAGGGAATCTTCCTCCAGTGGAAGGTGTCCCTGCCCATGGCAGAGGGTTGGAACAAGACAATCCCTTGTAGCCCACCCCATCCTGGGATCCTCTGATGACAGCAGCTGAGCAGTCACAAAGGCCAGAGTGCTGCATTGCAGGGTGCATGGGGGCACCAAAGGTGGCAGCTTCGTCCCAGCTACCACATGGCAAAGCAGGGACTGAGTGCCTGAACTCTGGCTAAAACTCTGCTCTGGCAACACTTTCTGTCAAAGTGGAAGCAGGGTTGGCTGAACATGTGCAATGCACATGATGGCTTTCACACAGACTCCGTAGAAGTGGTTAAAAAGTTCATCTGAGGAATGTGGAACTCGGTGGAATCAAGGTACTGCAAGTGCTGCTGCCAGGCTCTGCCACTCCCAAGGGCTGTGCCACCCCCAGACATGCCTTGCTTGACTAGAGATGTGTCAGTGGTGGTCAGGGGTCATTTTTATCACCCATAGCAGAGCCAACTGCTCTTAACAAAGCTGTGCAGGGGAAAGGCTGTGTTTGCTGGATGGAATCCTTCTCTAAAATTGGTAATTAGCCACTGACAATTACATGGCTGCAATGGAGATGAGAAAAAACACTTTCTCTTTTTCAGTCACATCATAATGTATTTTAATGCACAGTGGATTTTGACACTTTATTTTTCTAGAGGGGCTGGATGCTTCCTTAGTCCTTTCATTCCACTCCCCATTTTAATTGGTTTCAGTGACACCCCTTCAGCACAGAAAGGTTGCTGGTAACTCTTTTGTACCTTTGTGACATCCTGTGGTTTGGAAAAGATTTCCACCGGGGCAAAGTTTTGGAAAGAATTGATAGCAATCCATTCAGAAAATGACTACTACAAGGCAAGTTTAAAACCTTGGAACCATCTCATTGTGAGACCTGTGAGTGGAATCAGATTATTCGTGTTGGGGTTTGTTTATTTGTGAGTTTGGCCTCAGACAAAGTAGGTCAGTGGGTTTGCTGATGGCCTTGGAGGAGCTGCTGGGGACAGTTTCCTGGTGTCCAGTATAATATGTTACACAGTATAGCTAATGTTAAGTCATCTATAGAAAAGATGTGTGTTTCTGCCCTATCCAGGACTAGAAATGTCTGTCTAAAGAGCTCAGCACTTCCATAGACCTTTCTTGCACAGGGAAAGCCTCCTGCAGGGTTTCTGCCTTGGTTGGACTGTGGTTGACATCAGCTCTGCAGGAAGTTCTATTTGGGAACACATTCAGACTCTTCCTGCAGAAAAGGCTGCCTAGCCGACCCACCAGCTGTGGATGGAGTTAGGAGCTGTCAGGAAAGGGATGTGATCATGACACACCATCTCTCACATTAGCAAATCAAGGGGAAACATGCCCAATAGCTCACCCTATACCTTGGTGTTTCCTGCTAGCCTGGTTTGGGGCTCAGGCTTCTGCCATGCTGTGCATGGTCAATGCAATGGAAGCCTTGGCACAGCATTCTCTGTCCTTATCCATGTGTTTCCAACTTCTGGTCTGTCCCTGCTCCAGTGGGTTGGGAAAGAAGAATTCCTAAACAAGCAGTCCCACCCCATGGCTCATCTGAATGGAGTGGTGAGGCAGCACACGGCTGTGCTGGCAGCCTTCACTTGTAAAGTGCTGCCTCTGGGGACAGTTGAAAGGACAGGGAAGGAACAGCATTGTTCAAGTTTTTCAGCAGTGTCATTTGCAAAATTAGAGGTACATTTTGGTGGGTATGAAATTCAGTTCCAAGTTATCATTCTGTTTTTCTACTTGAGCCCATAAAGTGAACAGTGTGATTAAAAATAAATAAACGTCGATGTTTCAGAGTAAGCTCTGGCTCTCTCCCGAGTTGTTACAAGGCACCAAGTGCATTGTGTATTGCTGATCAGCACAAGGAAAATTGATGAGAATCTTCATTGTTTCATTAAAACAAAAAGGGATTTTCACCCCTTCAAATCACCATGACCAGACATGAGTGTTATTTGGTGTTAATACAGTTCAGGGAGGGATCTTGGTTTTCCTCTCTAGCGTTGCACTTCTTGCCTGTGCCACTCCTGTGCTCAGTCACCAGCAGTGTTCAGCTCTTCATTTCAATCTTTCATTTCCTGGTGTCCAGAGACACTGGTACATCCTTAGGGCTTGAGTTGGTATGGGTTCACGTGTAGTTCCTGAACCCCAAGTCTAAATGTCTGCCAAGTCCAAAGAATAAATAGACAAGAATAAATAGACAAAAACAGGACAAATCCTGTTCCTTGTATCTCACTGCTTGCCTGCCTGGCCCATTTCCATGTAGATGATACTGGAAGCAGCAGTTACTCCATTAGGATTTGATTTGGGGACTGAAAGCAGACCAGGTGTTGGAGACTTGCACAGAATCAGGATGATTTCGGTTTGGGGTGATTTTAAAGTTCATCCTGCCGTGGGCAGGGACACCTCCCACTATCCCAGGTAGCTCCAAGCCCTGCCTGACCTGACCTTG